GACAGGATGAGATGCTTGGATGACCTCACCGACTCAATGGACGTGAGTTTGAGTAAACTCTGAGAGTTAGTGATGGACAGAGAGGCCTGGCATGCTGCAGTCCACGGGGTCACAAAGAGTCGGACACGAATGAGTAACTGAACTGAACCAAACTGAATACACAGCCTTGACGTACTCCTTTCCCAATTTGGAACCAGTCCGTTGTTCCACATCCAGTTCTAACTGTTGCTTCTTGACCTGCATACAGATTTCTCAGGAGGCAGGTAAGATGGTCTGGTATTTTCATCTCTTTAAGAATATTCTAGTTTGTTGTGATACACACAGTCAAAGGCTTTGGTGTAGTCAGTAAAGCAGAAGTAGGTGTTTTCCTCTAAGTACATGGCAACAACCCTCAAAGGCTGGGAGCAGGGCACTGGGGCAGAAAGAGATGCCTCAGGTGCTAAAAGCTCTACAGGGCAGGAACTCCTCAGTCACCTGAAGGAAAAGCTGATGGCTAGGCTATAAAGCACATCAGCGGAGCTTTGGTGGTGTTCACCACCCAAGCCCTGCGGAAGGGAAAGCCTTGATGCTGCCCTCAAATCATCTGATACTGGCGAAGAACTGTGTCTAATTAAAGCCCAGGGCCAGCTTAACTACATGTGTGACTTAGCAAGCAGAGGAGGGGATGTGCCTTTTTCTGGAGGTATTATTTACTTCAGTCTCTACTGTACTCTTACACATAATGTCTAGCACAAAATAAAGAAATAGGAGATATGCAAAGAAGTGGAAAATTTTGATTCATACTGAACAAGGGAGCCTACTGAAACAGAACTACAGATTAACCTGAATGTTGCGATTAGCAGATAAGGACTTTAAAGTAATTACAATTAAACTAAATAAATAAAGTTAACCTAGTGAAAAAAATAGAAAATACAAATGAAATAATGGGGAATCTTAGCAGATAAAGAAAAACAAAAAGAAAAAAAAAACAGTAATTTCTAGAACTGAATAACACAATATCAGATGTGGACTTTACAGGCTTATGAATGAAGAACACTGATAAAGCAAAAGAAAGAAGCCATAAACTTGAAAAAAGTCAGCTGAATAGAAATAGCCAACCCAAGGGACCACACACACAGAACAAACCTCAACTAAATAGATCATCTGAACATTTGGGACGTTATGTACATAGTTCAACATGTGTGTAACTGGAATTTTAGAAAGAAAAATAGGATAAGGCAAAGAAAATATCTGAAGAGTGAGTTCTGAGAATTAAAAATAAAAAATTAAAGGCAACAACCCATAAATCTTTGTCATCCTTCAAAAGAGATAAATACAGAACAAATCATGCCTATGTACATTATGGTCTAACTATTGAAAACTAAAGATAGAATGAAAATCTGAAGCACAGAGGAGAAAACACATTATATTCAGGTGGATTACAGTAAGATGAAGACAAGTTTCTCATCAGAAACAACGGAAGCCAGAAGACAAAGACATCCTAAAAATGCAGAAACAGAAAACTCTCAACATAGTTCTATACCTAGCAAAATATCATTCAAAAACCACAGTGAAATAAAGACATTTTCATAAAGACTAGCTAAGTAGATTTGTCACCATCAGTGCAGAAGTAATACACGAAATAATAAAATAAGTTGCTTAGACTGAAGAGAAAATATACCAAAGAGAATCCTAGACCCGTAGGAAGGAATAATGAGCTCCCAAAGCAGATATACATATAAACATTAAGAGTTACTTACACATGTTTCTTTAGAATATTAATATTGTTTAAAGCAAAATAACAAGTATTGGGGGTTAAAATATAAAAGTGAGATATAAGGACCATATGGTGTGAGGGTATAAAGAGAATTATACTGATAAAAGGTCATTACACTGGTCATGAGTATAGTATTTGAAGACACCATTATTTTAATGGTGCAGGTTGTAATCTCCAGACTAAGGAATAAACAAAATAACACATAAAGCTTCAAAGTCAATAAAGAAGATACAATGTAATACTCAAAATACTCAATCCAAAGGAAGTACAATAAATCTCATTAGGATAAAAAGAAATATACATAAAGCATTCTAGAATAAAAGTTATCTTAAAAAGCAGCTAGCCCCAAACAGACAAGTTTATTTCAAAATAAACAGGTGAATTTTCAATAGTACTAGTAGTAGAAGATGGTGAATGCTTTTCAATGTTTTAAAAGGTAAAAACTGTCAATCAAGATTTCCACACACAATGAAAAAGCTCTTCGTGGATATTTCATATAAAGAAAACTGAGAATTTCTACCAGCAGATCCTCACTAAAACAACAGGCAATCAGAATAAAAACAATAACTAAAAATGCTATTTTCAAACAGATAAAAGCTGATGCCAGTAGAACTTGAGAGATGCAGGAAATAATTAAAAGAAAGATCTTCTAATTTGGCCAAAATGCCTTAAAAAATCCAACTATCTGCATAAAATAAACTTTTCCAAGAGTTTGTAGTGATGACTGCACTTAAAATTATTTCAGAAAACAAAAAGGTTACTAATTATTTCTGTTGTCCCAAACTGACCATTCAGCAGTAAGTTACAGAGACTAAGGTAAGAAAAACATCATGTGCCACCCCTGAATTAATGCTATAAGGACATTTTTAAAATGTGTTCAATACTGACCAAAGCAGAACTGTAGAATAGGTTAAAACTTCCCCTCTTTCTACAGTCTCTATTTTTCCCACCTTCAAGCCCAAAGGCTATGATTTCTAGTCAATAAAAGAAAATTTCCACACTGAAAATTTATGGCATGGTGGTAATAACACTTCCTAAGTTGTCTGAGAGGATTATGTAAGACAAACTACATCAAGCACTTACCAAAGGGCCAGGAATTTCATTAATTGCTAAGTATGCTGTTTTGTTTTAAAAAATTAAGTTCAAAAAGCAAAGAAATGGTTACCACAGAATTCAGAATTTTCTCTGGTTAATGGTAGGATGAGATCTTAAGGCAGGGCACACAGGGTAATTTTCATTGCTTAAGTCAGACAGGTCATAGATTCCCAAACTGACCATTCAGCAGTAAGTTACAGAGACTAAGGTAAGAAAAACATCATGTGCCACCCCTGAATTAATGCTATAAGGACATTTTTAAAATGTGTTCAATACTGACCAAAGCAGAACTGTAGAATAGGTTAAAACTTCCCCTCTTTCTACAGTCTCTATTTTTCCCACCTTCAAGCCCAAAGGCTATGATTTCTAGTCAATAAAAGAAAATTTCCACACTGAAAATTTATGGCATGGTAGTAATAACACTTCCCAAGTTGTCTGAGAGGATTATGTAAGACAAACTACATCAAGCACTTACCAAAGGGCCAGGAATTTCATTAATTGCTAAGTATGCTGTTTTGTTTTAAAAAATTAAGTTCAAAAAGCAAAGAAATGGTTACCACAGAATTCAGAATTTTCTCTGGTTAATGGTAGGATGAGATCTTAAGGCAGGGCACACAGGGTAATTTTCATTGCTTAAGTCAGACAGGTCATAGAGTGGTATTACTTAATCAGTATTCCCTAAATTATACCTATATGTTATGTATATTACTTTGACTGCATAACATATGATTTTTAAAATAATTTATTGAATAAAAAATTAATTTCTATAGCCAATAAAATCCTACATATTCTACTCCCTTCTACCTCTTAGACCTTAAGTTTTATTGCTGTCTCCCAAGTTTACCTCTCTCTAGTTTCAATGTCCTAAATACTGTTTCTGGAACATGCCTCAGGGTGTCTGCATATGTTTTCCATCTATGAAGAATGCTTTTCCTCCAGATTTCTACCTGGATATTTCATTTAATTCAAGATATTCCTCAAATCTTACTTTTTAGAGTGGCACTCCCTAATCAACTTATTTCTTCTTCCTCACTTTTAACACGCCGTCCTCTTACACTGCTTGAGTTTACCTTTGAGCACATACATCAGAAATACTGCTCAAATACTGACACATTTTATTAATATTAAAAATCACATTCATACTCTTATTAATCTCATCAGAAAAGTCTTTAAGTATTAGCATTTGTTAACTTTGCAAGTTTTCCAACATTCTGATTTTCATTTGAAAGCACTTTTAATGTTAGCAACAAATACAAACAGGTATTTTCCATCAATTGACAGGCTCACTTCACTCATTTTTGAGAAAATGTGTGAATACCATAGTTTGTCTGTCAGTTGCTCTTTCACATAAAAACGATATTTCATGAAAAAAAGTGGCTAGGTGAGCTCACAAATCAATCACTTTAAGTGCTTTTCCTCAAGACAACCAACCATCATATACCAGTATGCAGCAAATTTATGAACTTTCCATTTCATCCCACTGAGTAAGAAAAAGATGTGTACTCAAAGGTCAAAAAAGATGTGTACTCAAAGGTCAAGATTTAATAAATTAATAATTTTTACTATTTCATCAGACACACTTAAGGTGGCAATTTTTTTAACTATGCACATATTGTGGAGGAATACAATGTCATTGGTGTTATCATCCTGATTTATGCCAGACAGGCAGCTGTGCTTTTACACTATCAATGCTAATTTCATCAGTGTAAAAGGCAACTTGTATCCTGGTATGTTTTGAGGGGCTTCCCTCGTGGCTCAGATGGTCAAGAATCTGCCTGCAGTGTGGGAGATCTGGGTTCGATCCCTGGGTTGGAGAAAATCCCCTGGAAAAGGATATGGCAAACTGCTCCACTATTCTTGCCTCAAAAATTCCGTGGACAGAGGAGTATGGTGGGCTACAGACCATGGGGTCACAGAGTCAGGGACAACTGAGCACACACATTATGTTTTGGCTTCACAGACTCACTGAAAGAGTCTTGGGATTCCCAGAACACACCTTGTAACTGTTGTTGTATTCAAGCAATATTTTCCCCAAAGGTGATTTTTAATGATTTCCACTTTTCTAATTTAATATATGGGCTCTCTTTCATAAAACTCACTGAAAACATATACAGAGTGAAATAAAGAAAGAGGTAAATAAATGACTCACCCTGTACTTGTTCATTTTCTGCTGCTAATGGAAAGTATAGAAACTATGAAGTCAGGACAGGGAAAGTTGAAAGACAGAAGTCCTAAGAGACCTTATCTTGAAGTCAGGATCACCTGTGAGAAATTTACATACAACATTTTAGTAAAAGATAAACCTCTGGGAAAATGTCCCTTTGAGCCATGAGAAGCAATAGGAAAGACCACGATAAAGGAGTACCCACCTGTCCACTGGTGACTCATATAATCTTGATGAATCTGGACATTTTTTAATCTAAACAGGTTTTTCCTGTTGGCTGTTTCAAAAATTACATGTCCATTACTAAATAATACAAACAATTGAAAACTTATATGTCCAATAATAGCAGATTAGTTAATCAAGGTATATAATATATATCCAGGGTATGGAATTCTATACTGGCATTACAATGTTTGTAAAGAGAAATATCTATTAATATGGAAAAGCTTTAAGTTACATATCATAACAATTTTGCCTATTAATATTATAAACCCCACAACGTTAGAAAGTCTTCAGAGCTCTCAAAAATAGGATGTTTCTTCTTCCTAAATTTCATTTTCTCCAAAATCACTTTTTCAAAAACTTTATTTTGACTACAAATGGTATAGTGACAGGGAGGCACGCTGTCAGCTCCAGCTCTATGCTAAGCTCTATGAACAAACCTAGTGACGGTCTTAGTTCTATGCTTTTATCTTTAACATGAGGAGGAATTAGGTAATTTTAAACAATCATGTACTATTCTAAGTCTGTAAATCTTCAATTCAACACCACAGATACAATAGAACCGGGGAATGCACTGTCCCCTCCAACCTTGGACTGGGGCGTAGAGCAAACAAAGTGCAGATAGGCCTTGATGAATTCTGACACGGCCATCTAATCTGTTCACAGTGACACAAATCTGACTTCTAAAATAACAATTTGGCACCATAATCCCCAAGCAGGCACTTCATGTAGGGAGCAAAAGTTAACTAGATGCCATAATGTGAGGTCCTTCCCATATGCATAGGACACCACTTCCAGCTGCCCTGGTACTTACAAAATGCCTACTTACTAAGTCTAGATGCACCATCCAATTAGAGGCCTTATGATATCACCTTCATTATATGGAGCATGGATGAAATCGTAGTTTACATCTTTTTAAAAAGTCTGTTCCATTTCCGACCTGGCTTGGATACGATTCTTACCTTCTCCAGTAAAACTTAAAATTCAGGGTTTCAACTATGGTTTAAATTTACATGTCTAACAGTCATCTGAGAATACACAGGTCAGAGAATGCAGAAGGGCCTTAATTAACTTTTTACCCAGGAGTTTTAAGGAAAACAGAATACTGGAAAGTAAGATTAGATCCACGACACCCTGGTGGTGCTCAGGGACAATCACTGTATTAAATAAAACTTTAGGGTGGGAAACTGCATGAATACAAAGTAAAACAAATCAGAATTTAAATCCCACCTGCTAATGATGGCTAAGCCAGTTTCTCTCTCTGAACCCTTAGTATCTGTATTTATTATTTTGGAGGTGGTTAATACCGATTCAAAGGATGCTTATTATTAAATGAGCCAATAATGAAAAGAACAGCATAATGAGAAAAGCAGCTCACCTTTATTGAAGCCTTATCATACTTCATATACACTACCCTATTTAATACAAGAAACGACCCTAAAGGCTATTGTGCTCTTACAGATGAGTATCCGGGTTCTACCCAGATTAACCTGCCCATTTACCGGCGGGCTCTGGAGTTGAGCCCAGATCCCTGTGGTTTCATAGCGCCACGTCCCCAGCAGCCAGCGCCGCCCACGCGCCGGCGCGGACGTGACTGGCTTGGGATCCACGTCACAATCAGCCGTTCTCGCGCGCGCCCCAGGCCTCCTCCAGCCACCCCTTCCACGCAGGTCGAGAAACGCGGCTCCTGAGGAGGAACGGGGCTGCAGACAACCGTCCCTCCGCCAGGCCCCTTGCCTGGCCTCCTCCCCAGGCCTCCTCGAAGGGCAGTCCGGCGCGCAGAGGGGGGCGGCCGTCGGCTGCCAGAGTTCCCAACTTGGCGCAGCCGCGGAAACCGGCTTCCCCCCAACCCGGCCTAGCGCGCGCGGCGAGGCCTCCGACACACCTGCAGGGGCTCGGCCTCCGCTCCTGGCCCGCGCAGGTTTCAGGCCCGCCCTCTGCGGCGCCCAGCGGACCTGGAGGCTCTTGAGTCCTCTCCCCCCAGGGGCGTGAGGTGGACAATGGCGACTACTGAAAGGAGGTGGAATTGCTCATGCGCGGAAGGCTTCTGCGCCCCACTCGGGAATTGCGCTTCCACTTTGGGTGACGTCACGAGAATCGGCTTCTTCCCGCGNTTCTTTTTCTAAGAGTTTTCTCTTTTTCTAAAAGTTTTCTCTTTTTCTAAAAGTTTTCTCTTTTTCTAAAATTACTTGACAAGTTTTCTAAAAGTTTCTAAGAGTTTTCTCTTTTTCTAAAAGTTTTCTCTTTTTCTAAAATTACTTGACAAATAATTTTAAACTTCATCAGGAAATGCTTAATCTCAAAAGAATAGGTACGAAATTTTATTGGAAATGCGTATTATTGTAAACATTATTTAAAATTTGGTGCTGGCTTTAAAGGAGAATAGAAACAGATCCAAATACATAAGAATTGAGTATATGTTAAAATTGTTGTTTAAAACTGTAAATAGTTTGGAGTATTCAGTTAATGATTTGAGAAAATAAGGTTAATATGGTACATGAATTCAGCATGTAAAGTTAAAAAGCAAGCCATCAATTACTTAGAATATAAATAAAAAGTTTTAAAGAACATAATTTGATATAGCATGAAACAAAAAGCAGAAACAGCGAATAATATAACAAGGTGAAATCACAGACTGAGGAAATACATTGAATGATTATGAGACACAGATTTAACACTCGTGGGTAAACTACTCACAAAGTAATTGAAAGATGAACATCCAATATGCAATAAAAATAGAAAAAGAATATCCTGTTGCAGATTTTCATACAATCTACAATGCAGCGGACTGCCAGATGCTTCAGTATTCTATTTACTATTGCAAATATATATAGACAGTTATACATGTGTATATAGACAGTTAAATTATGACAGGCCATTTACTTTAAGATGCATTACAAATCCAATTTCAAAGCTGTTAAAATATGACAAAAAGCATGCCTTAGAAACACTGAAATGTAATGGTAAGAAAGTACAATTAGTTACTATGTATATGAAAACTTTGTTGTATTACCAGACATCAAGGAAATCTTAAACATGAAACACTATTTTGTCTACAGGTTTCAAGTTTCATTCCTTTTAGAAATTACCACCTTAAGTAAAAACCCACATAGAAATTTCCCCAGTTTTATTTTCTTCATACTATTTACCCCAGTGATTTCTCTTTGACAGGTCCCAGGAAATGATGGTAGAGTAAATTTGTAGAATGATGCTATTTGTGTGGCCATTTTATGGTCAGCAATTTTGGTGTCTCTTCAGAGCACTTGAGTTTCTCTGCATTTCTCCAGTATCTAGATCTTTTTAAACTATGTTTTGTGCCTAGTCAGTGAATTTGGCCCAAGTTTACTGAAAACCCCAGCTTCATATTTTAGAAGTCAATAAATTCCAAGATAACTGGCAGTTTGAAGTCACTGGTGAAGACTTTAGATAAAGTGAACTTCTGCTTTGGGCTCAGGTACCAGCTGCACACCACAGGACTGAAACTACTCTTGAAATGAGGAGGAGGACCACCTAGGAGACATCACCCTGATCTGACCCCTTTCACCAAACTATATGAAAGTGTGCGTGGTATAATTGTTGTAACAGATGAATTACCAGGAAAAAAAAGGTGAAGATAACCATATAAACACCAAGAATTCAAACAAAATATTATCAACACCTCAAGTCCCCCCTAAGGGACCTCTCTCTATTACCACTCCCGTCCTCAAAAGTAGCCTCATCTTGACTTCTTTCTTTGATTTGTCATAAAAACCAACATAGTTCCCCTGGAACTACAGTTTTGATAGTTTTTATCCAGATATATGCACAGAAGTGGAATTGCTGGATCATATTTTGTTGTTGTTCAGTCGCAATAGTAGGATGCTATGTGACCCCATGGACCCCAGTGCACCAGGCTTCCTGTTCTTCACTATCTCCCAGAGTTTGCTCACACTCATGTCCACTGAGTCAGTGATGCCATCCTACCATCTCATCCTCTGTTTCCCCCTTCTCCTTTTGCCTTCAGTCTCCAAGCATAACGGTCTTTTCCAATGAGTCAGCTCTTTGCATGAGGTGGCCAAAGTATTGGAGCTACAGCTTTAACATCCATCCTTCCAATGAATATTCAGGACTGATTTCCTTTAGGATTGACTGGTTTCGTCTCTTTGCAGTCCAAGAGACTCTTTAAGAGTCTTCTGCATCACCACAATTTGAAGGCCTCAGTTCTTTGGCACTCAGCTGTCTTTATGGTCCAACTCTCACATCCGTACATGACTACTGGAACCATAGCTTTGACTATGGACCTTTGTTGGCAAAGTGATGGCTCTGTTTTTTAATATGCTGTCTAAGTATGTGATAGCTTTTCTTCTAAAGAGCAAGCATCTTTTAACTTTGTGGCTGCAGTCACTGGAGCCCAAGAAAATAAAATCTGCCACTGTTTGCACTTTTCCCCCACCTGTTTGCCATGAATTGATGGGATTAGATGCCATGATCTTTGTTTTTGAATGTTGAGTTTTAAGCCAGTTTTTTCACTCTCTTTTTTCATTTTCATCAAGAGGCTCTTTAGTTCCTCTTCACTTTCTGCCATGAGAGTGGTCTTATCTGCATATTTGAGGTTGTTGATATACAACCTTATATCAACAATATGAGGCAATCTTGATTCCAAGATTCATCCAGCCTGGCATTTCACAATATGTACTCTGCATAGACGTTAAATAAACAGGGTGACAATATACAGCCTTGATGTACTCTTTTCCCAGTCTGGAACAACTTGTTCCATGTCTGGTTCTAACTGTGGCTTCTCGACCCGCATACAGGTTTCTCAGGGGACAGGTAAGGTGGTCTGGTATTCCCAACTCTTTAAGAATTTTCTACAGTTTTTTTGTGATCCATACAGTCAAAGGTTTTAGCGTAGTTATTGAAGAAATGTTTTTCTGGAATCCTGTTGCTTTCTCTATGATCCAACGAATGTTGGCAATTTGATCTCTGGTTCCTCTGCCTTTTCTAAACCCAGTTTGTATATCTGGAAGTTCTCAGTTCATGTACTGCTGAAGCCTAGCTCGAGGGATTTTGAGCATAACCTTACTAGCATGTGAAATGAGCACAATTGTATGGTAGTATGAACAACATTCTTTGGCATTGCCTTTCTTTGGGATTGGAATGGAACTGAACTTTTTCAGTCCTGTGGCCACAGCTGAGTTTTCCAAACTTGCTGACATATTAAGAATTTAAAAATAAAATCTTTTAGGATTTTAAATAACTCAGCTAGAATTCCATCACTTCCACTACTTTTGTCCATAGTAATGCTTCCTAAGGCCCACTTGACTTTACACTCCAGGATGTCTGACCCTAAGTGCATGACCACACTGTCATGGTTATCTGGGTCATCAGGACCTTTCTTGTATAGTTCTGTTTATTCTTGCCACCTCTTCTTAATATTTTCTGCTCCTATTAGGTCCTTACTGCCTCTGTCTTTTATTGTGCCCATCTTTGCATGAAATGTTCCCTGGATAGCTCCAGTTTTCTTTTTTAAATTAATTAATTTATTTTAATTTGAGGCTAATTACTTTACAATTTTATAGTGTTTTTTGACATACATTGACATGAATCAGCCATGGGTGTACATGTGTTCCCCGTACTGAACTCCCCTTCCATCCCATCCGTCAGGGTCATCTCAGTGCACCAGCCCTGATCTCCAGTTTTCTTGAAGGGATCTCTAGCCTTTCCCATTCTATTGTTTTCCTCTATTCCTTTACATTGTTCATTTAAGAAGGGCTTCTTATCTCTCCTAGCTATTCTCTCAAACTCTGCATTCAGTTGAGTATATCTTTCCTTTGCCTTTCACTTCTCTTCTTTCCTCAGTTATTTGTAAGGCCTCCTCAGATAAGCATTTTGCCTTCTTGCATTTCTTTTTCTTTGGGATGATTTTGGTCACTGCCTCCGGTACAATGTTATGAACCTCCACCCATAGTTCTTTAGGCATTATGTCTATCAGGGACTTAGTTGACAAGGCAATAATTACATGGGCAAATAAAGCACAACATGACTGTATCTTAATGGATTGTTTTCCTTGAACAGTTAATGTTACACTCAAGGCAAAAAGCAAATATATTTTTCTTTGAAGTGAGCATGCTTGCTGAATGTTACCCTTTCTCTGATGATACTCTGAAAGACACAGCAAGGGAAACAGAAGTAGATTAAGTCATGTTATAATTCTGTATAGAATTGTATGATAATTTTGAAAAATGCTATTATACTATTGTAGAGTAATTTGAAGAAACTTAGTGTGAATGTTGGCTTTTCAGATTTCTTATGCTTAGATGAAATTCAGCAGATGGTGTTCTAATCTTAAAAAGTCCCTTGAACAAGAGTTGTTATATTGTATTACCTGTTACAAAATAATCCTCTTTTAGGAAAATCAAAAGTTGTATGGTCTTACCTCAAAAAGCTAGTAAATAGTTATTTTTCTCAACAAAGATCTTCATCTGAAGTCAAAACACAGAAAAATTATTGAAGTCTTTGTTCTTCAAGAGTAGCACTTAAGTAGAAGCGTCTAGACCATAGCAGCCTTCAGTCAACAGGGCCTAATTCTCTCCTTGAGC